AAATTTTTGAGATAGGGTCTCATTAAATTGTGCATACTGGGCTCAAGCTTCAAATTCTCTGCCCTTGAATGGGGCATGGTGGTGCATGCCTGTAATCCCAGCACTTAGGAAGCTGAAGCAGGAGCATTGCTAGGAATTCAAGGACAGCCTAGGCTCATAGTGAGTTCAAAGCCAGCCTGCACTACAAAGTGAGACACTATCTCAAAAATAAATAAAAAAATAAAATAAAAATAGAAAAAAATTCTCCTGCATCAGCTCCTGAGTAGCTATACTACAGGTACATACCACTATGCTCAGCCTTTCTTCATTTACTTATTTTATTGTGTACTAGACATTGAACCCAGGACATTCATTTTCATTCTGGCTACATCTCCAGTCCTCAGTTTTATTTTCCTATTTTGAATCAGGATCTCACTAAACTGTTAAGTTGCCCAGGCTGGGCTTGAATTTGTGATCCTCCTGCCTGCGCTTCCCAGGATGACAGGAAATTACAGATACGTTCCATGCCCAGCTTCTCAGATTCTTTAATTCATCCCCATGAGAAGCAAGCACTAATCTTTACCTTTTTCTTGGTTGCTGCTCTACTCTTTACTTTGTTCCTTTTCTCTCTCTCTCTCTCTCTCTCTCTCTCTCTCTCTCTCTCTCTCTCTCTGTACTGGGGCTTGAACCCCTAGCCTGCACTGTCTGGGCAGGTGGCTCACCTCTGAGCTACACGCCCAGCCCACTAATCTCATTTCCATTGCCATAGATTGGTTTTGCCTATCTGTACAATGCTAAATGAAAAGTCATACAGTATATTTTGCATCTTTCCTTCATTTGTCCATTTTGTTACATGCATTAGTAGCTTGTCTTTTTTTTTTTTTTTTTTAGCATACTTTTGTTAATTTTAAATGCCTCAGTTTGGCTTAAACAGTTCCCTGTAGGACCAAAAGCACAAGATTTAGGCAGGACATAAAAGAGGGAAGGTCAATGGATTGGGAATCAGAAATGCTGGGTTCTAGTGCTGGCTCTGTTATCCTTTTGAATAATCTATTTTAATCTTCATTTTATAGGTGAGTTAATTGGCACAAAGAAAAATAGAGTCTTGTCCAAGGTCATCCATTTGGTCAGTGACAGAGCCAGGGTTTATTCCTGGTCACTTAATTTCTGGTACAGTGCAGGTTGCTGAGATTTTTAGAAATGGATTTTTATGTTGCTAGAAGGACAGAATGCCCCAGTCAAATTCCTAGTTAAGTCCTGTAGATTGCTCAGCTTCATGTTTTAGTCCTTTGTCCTCTGGATTTAAGATTGTTTGTTCCACCACCTTGGAAGCCTGGGAATTGACCAGGTGTAGATTCTGAAGGGGCATGTTTTAGTCACAAAGGAAATCTGGGTATATTGGCTATTTGGACACTGGCAAGGCTGAAACCCATGGCCCCTGCTGTTTCTAGGATGTAATGTGTACTTAAGGAAATCACTTTGAGCACACAATGCACATCTAGTACTGGACCTGCTGAAAAATGGACAATGTGGTTTTTTGTTTTTTGAGACAGGGTCTCAGTATGTTGTTCAGGTTGGCCTTAAACTCACTATGTAGCTCAGGCTGGCCTCAAATCCCGTGAACCTCTTGCCTCAGCCTCCTAAGTGCTGGGATCACAGGTATGAATAACCATTAAGGAACCAGCTAGCCATTTAAACAATGTTAGGCTCTGAAGAATGAAGGTCCCTTAAATGGTTACTGCCAAGAAGAGAAGAATCCCTATTTCCTTTGCATGAAGTCCTTGCTGTAGCAGACGGATCCTCAGCATTGTCTACAGAAGGTAATTGTAAGGTTTCAATTTGGCTCATTCCAGTTCTTTTTGGATTTCTAAAGTCAGCAACCCAAAGTCTTTGTCTGGCAACTTTACCTGGATGGGGAGTTGTATCTCCTCACTCATCTAATAAATCTCATTACAGTGCATCTTTGTAGTTAGTGAGCGTAAGGCCGAGTCCCTGGACAAAGACCTTACAGGAAACTGCTAAACTATGAGCCTGTCCTAAGACTAGCCAGGAGGGACACCTAGCCAAAGAGGTCTCTCCACCCATTCCTGGCACTGAAGCTTCCAGAAGTGGATGTAGACTAAGGACAGATGTGGATCGCCTGAACTCCAGTGCCATGGGCTGCCATGTTGAAGACCACTGGTTTGATGTTTATTTTCTCTGTAAAGAACTGGATGCTGTGTTAGGAGGATTAGATAAGGTAACTCACTAAAACACAATGAGGGGGCTGGCGAGATGGCTCAGTGGTCTAAAGCACCTACATGGAACAAGCTTGGCAAAGCACAGGGACCATGGTTCGATCCCCCAGCACCACATGCCAGCCAGCCTCGCCCCCTGGTGGGCTGAGCTGGCCACACACACACACACACACACACTAAATAAATGTTAAAAAAAAAAATAAAACACAATGAGCATAGTAGCTACTATTCAGGTGCTATTGTGTTTCAATAAGACACTGTTTTACACTGCCTGCCTGGCAAGCACCAGGTCAGGTTGGATTCCTGATACCAAAACCCCAAACAAACAAACAAAAAAAATAAGGTAGTTTTTAAGCTCATTGGCAGTATTAATTCTTTCAACAATCCTATTAAGGTCTATTTGTTTTAAGGCTTCTAGAAAAAAAAAAAAAAAAATATATATATATATATATATATATATATATATATTGTGTACTTTTTCACAGGTGAGGAAAGACTGAGATGCTAAATAGTTTTCCCAAAGTAACATAACTAGCAAGTTGCATAACAGACTTAAGGCAGTTTATCATATGGATCAAGAGCACAGGCTCTGGAATTGGACGCTAGAACTGAATGCCTAAAAAGGTATTAGTAAATCATTCAATAAATGGTAACAATTTTTATTATTGCCTATTTACAACCATCACCCATTTTTGTAATGCTTTGGATTAAACCCAGGGTCTTGTGTATGATACACAATTGCTCTATCATTGACCTTCTTGCCCCCCAGCTCCTTCTTAAACCTTTTCAGGCTAAGGAACTGAAGAAACAGAGCTGGATATGGTAGCACCTGCTTGTAATCTTGTCATTCTGGGAGACTGAGACTGGACTGCAAGTTTGAGTCCAGCCTGGGCAACCTAAGGATTGTTTCTACGAATTACAAACCTTTTACTAGTGTGAATTTGTGTATTTCTCCCTATCTCCAATTGATCACTATAAATACTTTCAGAGCTGGGGAGATAGCTTAGCAGTCTAAGCACCTGGCAAGTGCAAGAGCGCAAGTTCAGTGCTTAGTACTGCATGCCAGCACCAGAACCAGGTGTGGTGGCGCACACCTGTAATCCCAGCATTAGGGAGGCTGAGACAGGAGGATTTCTGCGAGTCTGAACTGCGAAGCAAGACTGTGTGTGTGTGTGTGTGTATATATATATATAATTTTTTCAGTGGAATCTTAGGTTTTGTGGTACATGCCCATAATTCCAGCTACGTAGCAAGCTAAGGCAGAATTGTTAAATAGCTGGGTTTGACCCCCAATACCACAAAAATAAAAGTCACTACACTCACCTAGTCCATATTCACATTTTCCTACATTTTTGAAAATATCTGTTAACTTTTCTGTTTCCTGATTTTCATTTTATACATTTATGTATTTGGTACAGGGTCTCACTATGCAGCTTGGACTCATAGTGATCCTCCCATTTCAGCTTCCCAGTGCTGGATTACAGGCGTGTACCACCACGCCTGGTCTTGGTGGTTGGTATGGTGTGCCCAGGGTGGGGCCGGCACAGCATGTGGTACCGGGTATCGAACCTGGGTCTTTGTGCTTGCCTAGACAGGCGCTTAGATTGCTGAGCTATTTTCGCAGCCCTTTTCTAGGTGCTATTTATTTTTTTTGGCGGAACTGGGGATTGAACTCAGGCCTTTGCGCTTGCCAGAGAAGCGCTTATTCTGTTGAGCCATCTCCCTGGCCCCTCACCTTCATTTTTAAAGATTCAACTGGACTAACTCCTCCTGAGTCTGACAGCTGCAGTGCACACTGCTTGCTGGCTCCAACGACTGCAGCACTGGACACACATACATCAGTCCATATTTCCTTGGCCATCTCTGAACTCAAATAGGACTTTATCATCCCTTAAACTCCTTATTTTTTCTTTCTTTTTTCCTAAAATACCAGCACAAAACTCAAAGCAGATTTCAGGGCCTACTATACTTCAGATTTGGGCTTCTACTATCTAAGTGCTAGGTGTTTGTTACCAATGATGACGACAGCATCCTAGCTTCTGTGGTAGGGGTCAATCCCCTCCCCACCTGCTTCACACTCGCTAATGCCTTACAGAGTTATGCAGGGATAGAATGCGTGATTCCCTTGAAGAAAAATGTGATGGCAAATATCACCAATAGAACATAACCGACAAGAGGCATTATTATTCAGCTCTGGCAAACTGTCATCATGTAGGAACATAAATTCCATCTTGCTGACAGCTTGTCTACTTTGTAAAAGCTTAAGATTTGTTTTTAGGGCTTTTTTTGTTTGTTTTTGTACTGGGGATCAAAACAGGGTTTTGTTTCTCCAGCCCATTTTCTTTTTGAGATAGGGTCTCCCTGAATTGCTTAAGTAAGACTTGAACTTAGGATCCTTCTACCTTAGTTTCCTAAAGTGCTAGGATTTGAGGCATACACTACTGTAGGCCAACTTTGAATACATTCAATATTTGTTGAAAAATAAGGGCCAGTCAGATAGCTCAGCGGATTAAAGCACTTGCTTAGGCAGATGCAGGGACCAGGGTTCGATCCCTGACCTGCCGTGCCAACCCCGCCCCCCAGGGTATGATGAACCAAGTGAAACTGGGCGTGGTGACACGTGCCTGTAATCCAGCATTTGGGAGGCTGAAAACAGGAAGATCACTATGAGTCTAATCAGTGTAGTGAGACCCTGTACTAATAAATACATAAAAAAAATCTTCCCTGTTTATTTCTATCATACTGATAAAACATCCAGAATAGGTGACAAACAATAAAAGCATTTATCATTGTTGGAAACTAAGTTAGCTGTTCCAGTGCAGTTTTATTCCGATCTCTCAAACTCGACTCCCAAGCAAAATGAAGGCACAGGTCACATTATTCTTCACATTAGTTCCAACATAGTTCCTCAGAAACACTTGCTGTTAAACCCATGACTGAAGAGATAGACCCGATTAGATCTTTAGGTTGTGAATTTACTTGTGAAATTAAAATGTCCCTATAATCATCTCAGTAATAGGCACACTGACCCAAGAGGTGGTGTGTGGGGGAGGCATGCCCTATATACCACTCTCTCGTTTTCCAAGATGGGTGAAAAGTGTGATAGCTGACCATTAAAATATAACAGGTCTTAGCTGGGAATGTAGCTCTGTAGCATAAGCACCTGCCTGGCAAGTGCAAGGTCCGAGTTCGATCCCTAGTATTTAAAAAAAAAAAAAAAAAGAAATTACACAGGTCTTTATGATAGCCATGTCCAAACTCCTGATGTGTGATTCTCAAGCCCCCAAACCTACAGGTTTTACATCTCCTGGCTCATACTCTGGGGTTTCTTCCTCCCAGGCTCTCTCTGGATGCTGATTTCTGCAGAGCCATCTTCTTGGCACAGGTGGTTTGCGGTCTCAGGGGTGGGCACTGGCTTGTTCTTTCTTTCGCTGCAGCTCCTCATGTCGCTTTGCCTGCTGTTCCCTCATGCAATCCCTGAAGGCCTGCACCTGTGGCTGGCACTGCCGCCAGTCCTGGTGCTCAGCCATGCACTCCTGTACCGCAAAGTGTGCAGCAGCACAACCAGAACGGGAAATGAGCTGGTCCAGTGGGTCGTCTTCTTCCTCTTCCTTCCTTACTTGTCGGGCCCAGTTATGGCCTTGAGGGACTGAGGCTGACATCAGGGGAGTCTAGAGACAAAGTTTAAAGTACAGCTATGATCACATAAGGTTCCTATATTTTAAACAGCACCAACCAAACTATTCTATTATACCCTGCTTATATGTTTGTCTCACCTAAAAGACTAAGCTCTTGGAGAACAGAGTGAGCCTGTTTTATTTTGGTGCACCAGCACCAGTCTGGTAGAGAGCAGGCCTACAAAATGGATAAATTGAACAAAATAAAATATATGAAAACACTTTTCAGAGCTCAATGGATTCTACTAATGCAATATAAATTATGTGAAATATCTTTTTCAAAAAGCCATTCTGATCTACTTTAAGGAAACTTCATTACTTCCACTGGCCTTATTCTATGCTTGGAGAACAAAATTCCCATCCTTTTCATGTCTTCCTGCTCCAGGCCAGACTAGGTACCCTATAAAGGCACCCAAAGGATAGGTTTATTTGGCTGTAACACAGAACATGCAGGGGCTAGAACAAGACATGAGCCTTTGGGGTAAGGGAGATCACTTTCTCAGCCATTTCCAAAGGCCAGGGATACCTGTATTTGCCTACACTGTTTCCCCAACATCGTCTCCTTCACAGCACCCAGGAGAAAGCAGCAAGAAGAACTTAAGAAAGGTTGGAGGGAGCCAGGGAGATGGCTGAGTGGAATAAGCGCTTTCCTGGCAAGCGCAAGGGCCTGAGTTTAATCCCCAGTTCCGCAAAAAAAAAAAAAAAAAAAAGTTAGAAGAACAATGACTATACGCTTTGAATAAAGTTAGCCATAGTGAATTATAAAGGAGTTACAAGGACTCCTTAATTCTCCTGTGTCTCATTCAAAAGGTTTTTCTTCTCCCATTTCTGGGGATTGAAACAGGGCCTCACAGAGCTAGGTAAGTCTAGTACCATTGGGCTATATAATTAGTTCCAAAAAATGATTACTGAGTACCTATCATGTAGCAGTCAATATGCTAGAGTAAATAGGAATAATCAAGCAAGATAGGGTTTCTGCCTTTGTGAGTTTACAAACTGAACAAATACATACCTTACAACAGTGAATACAGATAGCTAAGATTGGAAACACAGTGGAAATATGTATAGTCCAGACAAGAATAGCAATATGAGCCAGGGAGACAGCTCAGGGGCATAAGCACCAGAGCAGTAAGTGCAAGGTCCTGAGTCTGATTCCTGATACCACAAAAAAAAAAAAAAAAAAAAAAAAAAAGAGTAAGAAGGAAACACTTGCCTGGAAGTAGTGATTTCTAAGCTAAGACTCAAGGGATAAATAAGAATTAGCCAGAGATCAGACTATTTCTGGAATGGAAGAGACAAAATGTGACACAAGAAGAATTACATGTTCAGCAACATCCAGGCATGGTGGCACACCTATAATCTCAGCTTTCTTGTAGGCTGAAGCAGAAGTAACACAAGTGCCAGTCCAGCCTATTCAACTTGTTAGTAAGACCCTATCTAGAAATAAAGACAAATAAAAAGGGCTGGAAATGTAGGTCATTGTGAAGGTACTGGGTGCAATACCCAGGACTGCAGAAATGAATGAATAAAATTCAGTGACTGAGGGTGTAATTTATGGCACAGTTCATGTTCAACATACATGAAGCCCTGGGTTTGATCCCCAGCACCACACAAACCAAACAAAACCAAACCTTCAGTGACTGAGAAATTATAACAAAAAGCCCACATAAATTAGAAAATGACTATTAGAAAAGGCTTTGTAGTCCAGATTAAGGACGTTGAGATTTTTATTGAGGAGCATGAGGAAGACACAAGAGGGAATTAAGCACTCTATATCTCTACACAAAACTTGTTTTTGGAGGCAACATAATTTAAGAGGGGGAGAGAAAATACCTTTCAAATAAGCAGGGATTTTTCTGATTGTGGTGACACACACCTGTAATCCCAGCACTTGGGAGGCTGAGGGAGGAGGATCACCAGGAGTTCAAGACCAACCTGGGCGGCATTGTGGGTACAAGACCAGCCTGAGAGACATAGCATAGCAAACCCTATGTCAAACAAACAAGAAAGAATAGAAAAGAAAAGAGCTTGGGGCTGGCGAGATAGCTCTGTGGACTAAGCACCTGCTTAGGTAAGAGCAGGGACCTGGGTTCTCCGGCACAAGCCGGGAGCACTGAGCTGGCGACCTGCGACCAAGATCAGGCGTGGTGGTGCACACCTGTAATCCCAGACCTGGGAAGGCTGAAAACAGAGGCGCTGCGTTGTGAGATCCTGTACCAAGTACATTTAAGAGAGAGAGAGAGAGAGAGAGAGAGAGAGAGAGAGAGCGCGTAACCTCGACTGAAGAGATGAAATATTTGTAAAGCGACTGGTACAGAGTTTATTTACTAAATGATGATTTCTGACTGTGTAGTAGTGCACGCTTGCAGTCCTAGCACTGGGAAGGCAGAGGCAGAAGGATCACCGCGAATTCGAGGTCGGCCTGTACTACACACCAACACCCTGTTCAAAAACAGAAAGTAACGACAATTCCTATTAGTATACATGTTTTCTCTTCCCAAACCCATTTGTAAGCTCTTTAAAGACTGGGCGCAAATCTTCAAGAGCAAGCATGGTGGGACTTCTAAGCCCAGGGATGTAAACTCAAATTCCTGTCATGCCTTATCAGGTAATTTTTTTTTTAACCTCATAATAACAACCGACAGAAGCCGAGTGAAGGTTAATATGAGTGAAAAGTATTTGAGCTATTGGAGAAAACTAAGTGTATGCTACTAGACTGCTCCCACCACATCCTGTTCTCAGTTTCCCCTGGAATCCAACAAGGACGACCACGGTTCAGAGATCTAGGCAGGTTAGATGGCTGGCAAGTGAAATGCGGAAGGCAGGCAGAAATGGACGGCAAGCAGAGAAACTCAAGGACACAGGTCGCTGGAAGCGCCTTTCCTACTTCACCGAGACGGCGCATGCGTACGTGCAGCAGTGCAGCGCGCCCCAGACGCGTCCGCAGTGCCTCCCCGCGGTGCTCACCCGAAGGCGGCAGACGAAGATCACACGCACGTTCGCCGCCTCGGCAAAGGTTCTCCAAGAAGTCCGCAGTCTTCCGTCTCTTCCCACAAGGCACCGCTTTGCAGGAGCGCGCACACGGAAGGAGGGGAGAATCTCGCCGCGCATTTTCATTGGTGGCCTCTCCGTGTAGGTCCCGCCCTACGCCCTCGCCGCGACTGTTTGGGGAACTCACATCCGGGAAGGAACGGAAGAGGCGGGCAGGTGGAGGCGGGGCCAAGATGGCGGCGCCTCTGAGGATCCAGAGCGACTGGGCCCAAGCCCTCAGGTGAATGCGGCCCCAGAGCAGGGGCAGAGGAGGCGGGTAGTGGATGTTACCTTTCCATCAAGGGAAGTCATGCCGGCCCAGTGTACCCATAAGGTTACCCCATCAATTGTTGAACTAATTGGAGGTCACAGGGTCCAGAAAAAGATGCTCAACTCACATGATCATGGGCTTTTCGCTCTGAACAGCTGTCCTGAGGCCAAGGGAACACATATGTGTGATTGCTGCGTCAGAACCAGGATCAATGAGTTGAAGAAATGAAATTGGGAGCCAGCTGCTCCCGGCCAAGAAGTCATCTGGAAAATATTTATTGGTCATCAGTTGTTTATAAGAGTCTTAGTATTCAATCACAGCTGTAACGCTGCATTAGACCTAACGAAGGACTCCGTTCAGGAGCCTGTACCACCTACCCCGTTCACGCCCTCTACTAGGTGCTAGGTGGAGCTCACATTAAGTAATGATTCCTGCTCGTCAAGGAGCTGATGTTGGAAGTGGAGCTGCGCAGCACTCTGTTTTCACTTAATATATATATTTATTGATCTTGTACTGTGATAGTCATTTCTCTGAGCAGCAAGGTGAATACGTACTGCCCTAACTGAAAAGCATAATGAGAATTTTTTTGAATTGAAACAATGGAGAAAATGAATGAAACATGTCTTCCAGCATTTAAGAAATTTATACCTTATTACGTGGTTCTAAAATATAAGACAAAGTACTTGAACACAAAATATGATAAGTAATAAAGGAACATTCAGTGCTACAAGTTGCACTCTATACTTGCAAGAAAGTGCAGTCCAAATCAAGACAGTTGATTAAGATTATGCAATTGGTCATGAGATCAAGGGTTACTATCAATCTAGATCTGTTTTTCTCCTCCTTTGTGGTACTGGGAATTGAGCCAGAGCCTTTGTACCCCACCCCCACCCCCTTTAAAAAAATTTGAGACAGGATCTTGCTAAGTCTGGGGACATGAACTTGTGATACTCCTGCCTTGGCCTCCCAGAGTACTTGGATTACAGTCATGTACCACCACACCCGGTTTAGATCTTTCTGTTTTAAAAATGTAGGCCCTCAGAGTTAGGGTACAAAGATCAGGATTTGGAAGATTGGGTATGGGATGCAGAACGTAAAAAATCCTCACCACAGTGTGAGGTGTTAGAAAAATCTTATTGTGTACCAAATTTAAATTCGTACTTAATAGCTAGATGACTAGGTAAATCCTCTCGAGTTTCAGTTTGTAATGTTCAGTGTGGATATAATAAGGTATCTTGTTTGGTTGTTGTGAGGAGTAATGATACTGTGTGCGGTGTACCTAGCACAGAATCTGGTTTACAGTAATCCCAATAAATGTGTAAATATAAACTTGAATTTTTCAAAGTGAACTTTGTTAATAAATTTATTTATTTATTATTTTGAGATAGGGTCTTATTATGCAGTTCAGGCTGGTTTTGAGTTCACTGTGTAGCCCAGGCTGGCCTTGAATTCATGGTGATCCTGCTACTTTAGCCTCCCAAGTTCTGGGATTATAGTAGTGTGCCACCATGCCTGGCTGTTTGTGAAAAATATTTGAGCATTAATTTTACAAGTGTCTATTCATTAGATACTTGAACAAATAAACAAAATTGGATGTCTTAGAAGAATCTATGCATGATGGGAGGTTGACCAGATCATGTGTTAAGTACTGTGAACAATCTGGAAATTACATGACCCTTTTTTTTTTCTTTGTACCATTGGCATCTTCAGCTTCGTAAGAGCCTAATTAAGCTTTTGTTTATATTCACAGGAAAGATGAAGGAGAGGCCTGGCTGAGTTGTCACCCCCCAGGTAATGCTCATAAATGTGTGGTATGTTCTTTCTTTAAAGAAGGATTTATTACTCCTAGAACAAAGCTCCCACTCTGTGCCTGTCCAGCTTTGCACGTGCTCATAACTCTTTTTGACATCACTGCCATACCTCCATTCCAGCAGAAGGCCTTTGCTTTTCCATTTGAAAGCCACAGCCATTCATGGAGTTGTTGCTGATGAATTTAAATCAGTCCCTTAGACCTATACTGTCATGCTGTCGAACACTTCTACAGCTTTGTGACCTTGCTGATGGTAATTAAATTTATAGTGTTTGCCCTGACCTCTCTTTGGGTGCAAGCAGAGATTGAACAGTTTGCTAGACATTGGTGCTTGAAGTTCTCACTGTTGTATTGAATAATGACTTCCTAAAGTTCCCAGACTCTTTTACAATCAAATGGATCCTCTTTCTTGATTCTCTGTCTCTGTCTCTGTCTCTGTCTCTGTGTCTTTTTCCTTTTCTGTGCCAGGGATTGAAGCCTGGTATTACACTCTATTGCTGAGTTCCCCCCCCCAGCCCTTTTTTATTTTTTATTGCAAGACAATGCATAATTCAATTTTCAGAGTGGCCTTAAACATAGGATCCTCCTGTCCCAGCCTCCCAGATAGCTGGGATTAAAGGTATGAGCCACCACATCTAATGATTTTCTTATTTGTTAAGTTCCTATCATTTTTCTAGGAATCAGAGTGAAAACCTAATTACTTCTCCAACTCATACAGCTTCCAAGTCTTGCTGTTCTATCCCCTGAATAACATTCCTGTGTTGTTCCTGACTATTCAGTTTACATGATAACTAGTGTGGTACCATTCCAAAACCAAACCAACCTTCCTTCTAAAGACTGTAAACAAGTTTTGTATTACTGAGTGCCATTTCAGATGCCATTGCTATATTTTATTTCTTAGAAAAATTAAGTTTTAAACAGAGTCTCTGAGGAAATTGGTGTTGCCTAGACCAAAGGAGGGTGGTAGCTAGATAATCTTAGAGGCTTTGTTTTGTTTTTCAAATATGAGAAATTGTAGAAAGTAATTTTTAAAATATAGATTGAAATCCAGGGAGAGAAGGATTAACAGAAGACCCGGTGTCTAGAGAACAAAGAAGGAGATTGAATTGAGCCTGAGAGACTAGAATGAAATAAAATGAAAGTGCAAATGTAGATGAATGTGTGTTCACATGTAAATACATGTGAGGGTGTAACACAGCCTCAGTGTCCTTGTGAAGTTAGAGCTAGTGTCACCTCATAAGCAAGAGGATTTTTTTTTTTGGTAAATAACAGCTTTATTGAAACTAAATGTATTTTATGTTACTTACTTTACATATGTTTCATGTCCCTAGCAAAAGCTCCTGTGGTATACCTTCTCTATCAAGATTACTACCCTAAATTGTGAGTCCCTTCTATAGTTACCCTTCACCTACCTTCTCCATAACTGCTATAACCAAGCTGATGCCTTCATTGATGCCTCCTTTTCTCTTGTTCCTTTTGACTTTTTTTTTTTTTTTCCTGTATATAGGACAGGGTCTAGGGTCTGTAGGGTCTCACTACATGGGTCCTACTTGTAGTGATTCTCCTGTTTTCAGCCTCCCAAGCGCTGGGATTACTGGGGCATGCCACCACGCCCCAGGAGTGGGGCTGGCATAGCATGCCAGGGATCAAACCGGCCGCTGTGCTCTGCCTAAGCAGGCCCTTTAGTCCACTGAACTATCAGGTTGGCCCCAAAAAATTTTTATAGAATTTAACAAATTGATTATAAAGCTTACCAAGACAGAAAATTCACACAAATAGCCTAGAAAACTATAAAACATTCAGTGCTATGTTATATGCTGGCCTTCTAGCTGCAGCCTATCAAAGCATGCTCTTTTTTTTTATTTTTTTATTTTTTTTTTTGGTACCGGGGATTGAATTCAAGACCTTGTGTTTGCCATGCAGGCAGTGGGGCCACTAAGCTATCTCCGCTATCTCCCCAGCCCTTTTGACTTTTATGTGTGAATATGGATAAGTGCCTCTTCCCTTCCTTGGTTTCCCTTTTCATCCTATCCAGAATTCCTGTCAGAATCTCTAGAAAGCATCCATTGCCTGGATCCATGATTTCTACGTCTTTCTTACTCCTAGAACTTATGTTTTAGTGCAGTTATTCAATGAGTAACCTATAGCTGTTTCTGAACTCAAAAGACTTGAGTCTAACCAGGAAGTTTGAAATATAAGTTGTGTTAACTCTTGTGATCTTCCTGTCTCATCCCCCTGAGTGCTGGGATTATAGGTGTGTACTACCACACCTGGCTTTTGGGTTTTTTTTTTTTTTTTTTTTTTTTTTTTTTTTCCTTTTTGGTTTTTTTTTTTTTTTTGAGACAACTTCTTGCTATGTGTTTAGGCTGTCCTTGAACTTACAGTAAGCACTTGCTGGCCTGGAACTCTGGATGATCCTCCTTCAGCCTCCCCAATGCTTAGATTACAGGTGTGTGTCACCACACTCGGCTGGTAAACATTTTTAACTTCATTCTACCATCTGTGTATGTTTACAATAGAGATATTTGATTTAGCTCATATGACTGCTAAAATCAGTATTCCGCTTAGGAACCATTTCCAGATTACTGAAGCTTGATTCTTCAATATGTATGATATAATGTATATACTGTGGAATATGTTGTGTCCCCCCTTCTATGTATTTAGTACAGGGTCTACTGGGCCTCACTACACACATTGGACTCAGTGATCTTCCTGTTTTCAGCCTCCCAGGCACTGGGATTATAGGTGCTGGGTGCCACCACACCCAGTCTCAGTCACTGACTCAGTGTGCCACAGGGGTAGGGCCAACACAGCGAGCCAGGCATCAAATTCCAGTCCCTGCGTCTACCTAAGCAGGCACTTTAATCCGCTGGGCTAATTTTTTCCTCTTTCATCCTAGAACAGCTCCTCTTAGCCAGTAAAGCAGGTTGCTATCACTCTAGCAGCTTTCTCTCCAAATGTTATATTTCTCAATCTTTCTTCCAGACTTTTAGTCTTTCAAATTGGATTTGCTCTTTCCACTTCACCTGACTTTCAGTACAGGTATCTGTTTTCATTTTGTGGGCCAATTTTATGGGTATACCATCTGTACAGGTGCCTGAACTGGGTTTTCAAGAAGCAAAATATTTTTTGAGACATGCTTCTTTTGTGCTGTGTAGGGAAACCATCTTTGTATGGCAGCCTAACTTGTCAAGGAATTGGACTAGATGGCATCCCAGAGGTTACAGCTTCGGAAGGATTTGTTGTGAATGAAATAAATAAGGTAGGTTTTTATGTGTTATAGATGGCAAATTGTTCAAAACTATGATCAGACTCACATATGTATTTCAGATTTTTATATTGTTATCTGTATATGTGTGTCACCCCAGTTCATTTTACAATATTCATACTTTTGCTACCATTGAGTGTTAAGAATTTTTTTTATTTAGTTATATTTACTTTTAAATGGGATCAGATTTTCTCTGACTTTGAAAACCATGTATATAATTTTAAATTTTCTAGTAGCTTTATTAAAAAGTATGGAGGACCACCTGGGCAACTCTCCCTGAGGGAGGAGCAATTGTCTCCACTTTGCCCAATCCTGGCCCTAATTCCATATATTGATGTGTGCAGAGCCAGCTAGGACTTTTCCTTATCCCATCAGTTGGCTAGCAATGCATATTGGTCCATCTGAGGTGCTGATATGTAGTCTTTGAAGCCAAGAGGACAGGGCATTGTTTTCCCCAGCCGCCAATGGCTCCCAAATAAAATGTGTGGGCTGGTGTGAGGCAGGACGGAGAGCTGTACTTCATGCTTTCAGCTGGGATGGGCCTCAAGGGGCTATGACTTTCAGGGCATAAAAGATTACACATCAGAGTTGAAGCACTGACCCCCAAACTTTAGATACTACCTAATTGTGTTGTGCAGATTATTCTTTCTGCATATCCTGTTCTCTGCATATTGGAGAGCTGATCTCAGATCGCCTGCCTAGCCCAGCTCACGTATTTTCTGCCATCCTCACAGTCCCACTTGTCCTCAAGCCACTCCTTTTTTCACAAAGGAATAAAATCCAGGTTTTTGCTCTAGTCAAAGCCTTTGTTCCTATCAGCCATCATCCTACCTGGGCTTAGGACTCCTTGGCTCCCCATAACTATAAGTATGTCTTAGTGTCTTTATACTTACCGTGGTTTGTACTGGAAGTGGTAAATTGGAATTAACTCACTAGAATTCCAGTAACTTTTCCATGGGCTTATAAATATAAACCTCCTGGGGGTTGGGGATATAGCTCAGTGTGTGCCTGCCTAGCAAGTGTGAGGTCATGATTGGATTCCAGGTACCAAAAAAAGAAACCTAAAGAAAAATATATAAACTTCCTGGACCAAGATGAGGACTGGGGGGCCGGGGAGATGGCTCAGTAGAATAAGTACTTGCCTGGCAAGCGCGAGGGCCTGAGTTCAATCCCCGGTTCTGCCAAAAAAAAAAGATGAGGACTGGGAAGGGCTCTCTATAAAAAAGATAAAAAGAAACAGATAAAATTAATAGTACTCTCTTATTTAATCCAATATTTCTAAAATATTTAATTATGTAATTAATATGTAATTTATTGAGATATTTTAGTTTCTTTTTCTTAAAATTTCAGAATCCTGTGTGCATTTTTTACTTGCAGCACAAGCCTATTGGTAGATCACATATTTAATATGCAAGAGGCCCTGGTTGCAGTCCTTGTACACACAAGAAAAATGCTCCATTGTTTAGCTAAGTGTGTGTGCACAATAGTCCCAGTTACTCAGGATCCTGCAGCAGGAACATCACTGGAACCCAGGATTTAGGAGCAAGTATAGGCAAGATTTTTTTTTTTTTTTTTTTTAAGATTTTTTGTTTTTTGAGACAGGGTCTCTTACGTTGTTCAGTCCAACCTTTAAGTCACTATGTAGCCCAGGTGGGCCCCAAACTCAAGGAGCTTCTTTTTCCTCAGCCTCCCAAATGCTAGTTGACAACCTATCTCTTAAAAGAAAACATAGATCCAAACCTAAGAAGTTCCAAACCTACCTAAAAGTTTTCAGTAATTCAGGTGAGGAATTACCAGTTTTTAAATTGAACTTTAAATAAAATTTTAAAATTCAAATAAATAAATAAATAAATTCCAAAAAGTATTTAAAATTTCACTTTGTATTTGCACTAGTCACATTTCAAGTATCGAGTAGCCTCTTGTTTGGACAATGTGGCCTCAGTCTGTGGGGAGAGCTACAGTAATTGTTCTCTGTAGTTTTCTTACTCCTCTGGTGTAGATGACTAAGCTGCACTGCAAAATCCATAATCTCCCTTTTCTTACCCATTTTGACTGCCATAGTATAATTAAAACTTTCTGGTTATAAGATTTTTTTTTCTCAGTACTGGGGGTTGAATCTAGGGTCTTTGCATTGAGCTACACCCCCATCCTATTTTTCTTTTTATTTTGAGACACAGTCTCCCTAAGTTTCTAAATTGCCCAAGGTGGGCTTGAACTTGCAACCTCCTTGCCTCAGCCTTCCAGAATGCTAAGATTACAGGCCTGATGGTTGTTAAGGTATTGTGTATATACTGACAAAAGAGGTTAGTTGGCCCTGGCACATACTTGTAATCCGAGCACTGGAGAGGCTGAGACAGGAAGATTGACGTGAGTTTGAGGCCAACTTGGGCTACGTAGTTTGAAGCCAGCCTGACCTGCACAGTGAGACTCTTATCTCAAAAAAAAAAAAAAAAGGATTTTATTTTCCATTTTGGTTTTTTGATTAATTTGTCTTTGTATACAAGGTTTTTAGCAAATATTTTTTCATTACACTTTTTGTACCAGGTAGTAGATTACATGTTATTATATATTTTAGTTTGTTTTCTAAAGCAGCTGTGATTATAGAAAGTGTAAGAAGAGCTGAGTTTAAATCTTAGTTTACCTTTTAACTTCGTAATTTCTTTTTAATCTTTTATTTTTGTATTTATTTGGTACAGGGTCTCACTACACAGCTTAGACTCATAGTGATGCTCCTTTCTCAGCCTCCCCAGAGCTGGGATTACAGCATGAGCCGCCACTCCTGGTTTCAGTAACCAGCTGGGCCGGCATAGCATGTGGTACCAGGGATCAAACCCAGATCCTTGCACTTGCCAGGCAGGCCATTAGACCGCTGTCTCCCTGGCCCTAACTTTGTAGTTTTGGACAAATAACTTAGTTCTCTGAGCCTGTTTTCTCATCTCTGTCACAGAGATAATCTTGTACTTCATAGGCTTCCATAGGGATGATACTGCAGAATGTTACAAAAGTTAGTTTTGTTTATCCTAACAGTCCTATGGGATGAGTTTTGTTTGTTGGGTTTTTTTTTTTTTTTTTTTTTTTTTTTTTTTTTTTTTTTGGTACTGGGAGTCAAACTCAGGACCTTGGGCTTGCCAGGCAGGCAGTTAATGCCACTGAGCTATGTCACCAGCCCACCAGCCCAGGATGGGAATTTTGAATTTCCATTTTGCAGATAAGAAAACAGACTTTGAGGTTAATTAATCTTAAATAATCAAAGTCAGATGGTGTACTGGAATTGAAGCCCAGTTCTGTTCGTTGTAATTTTAACACCACCATGCAAGCCTGTATTTTTCCTAGGTTTGATGCCAGTATCCATGCACAGCAAGGATGCTGTTATATTTCCCTTTTTCTTAAAATTATATATAGATACAAATATGTATTAAAAGTCCACAAAAAATGTATACACATTTCCAGAAAAGAAAAATTTATATATGTGTTTTAATACTAAATTTATTGAGACCATGAGGTTAATACAAGTTACAAGAGGTGGTCAAAGTATAAGCCATTAGTTTCCAGACATTTTGTAAGTACAGTGAACTGCTCTTGGGAAACCTTGGTCACTGAGATAGCTGCATATGGATTTTCAATTTCTTTTCTAAGACCCAGGAGTATAATGGGTTTTCAGCAATGTATGACATCTTCTGGGGTCTCCCGTATGAAGGTAACACCATCTGTTACAAAAAGATCATGCCATCTTTCTTTTCCTGAAATGTGTATACATTTTTTGGTGCTGGACTCTACTTTGAGTTTTTTTGTTTGCTTGGTGTTTAATTTTAAGGTGAGAGTCTTCCGAAGTTGTGCAGGCTGAGCTCAGATTGCAGTCCTCCCAACTCAGCTTCCTAGAGTGCTAGTACTACAGACATGTGTCACCAAGGCAGCCCCAGAATTGTGTTTAATATATGTAGTGCATCTGAGTCCACTGTCTACTTGTAACAGGAAATACTTGATCTGTATTTCTTCCCTTTGTACCCAGGCCAGGATACAGTCCATATCTCTTCAAACCTCATTATTAATTTCTGCTGTGAACCTGCTGGGTGGGTTCAGACAGTAAGTGCTTATGGTTGAACATTTATTTGTTTCCTAACTGCCATGAGTCACTCTGCTATTTGGTGTTGCTGCTTTGTTCTTTTAAATGTCAGATCTGTCATTTTGCTTAAATGCCTAGCTCTGGAGGATTAAAAAAAGAAAGTTTGACAGAATTTTATCTTAAAGTGCACACTCACACTTCCCCTTGAATTTTTTCTGCTCTGATATCTCCTGCAGCTTGTCTTTAAAACATTTTCATTAACAGCAAGCTTGTCTAATGCTGACATTGAAAGTAGTTCAACATTTATCTTCTTCCGTAGTCTGTGTAAAGATTAAAGGTTTACTTGCAGGATTGATAAGCAGAAGAAAAGCACTGATTCTTGAAATCTTTCATATAACTGGCCCCTAAGAAATGAAGTCTTCTGAGAATAAACTCAGTTTTTACAGAGACCTGAACACTTAAGCTTTAGTTTTTGTTACAGCAGGCAGTTCCAAATCTTGGTCAGCTATCTTACACCTAGCTATGTGGACTGTGTCATGCCATCATAGACAGAAACTAGAGTCTTTCAGGCAGCTGAGCATGGATATGCTGTTTAAGAAAATAATGTTCATGTAAATATTTTAACTGTCTTGTAGAAGGAGTAGTCAGCTATATAATAAGGACGCATTGATTTTTACTGATGAGAATGTTGTCTTTTTGAAAGTGTTCTTTTTAGTAAAGGACCTGTATCTGTTGAATGTAAAGTGATTTGGAAAAATCTTCATTATTAAAGACATTTTAGGGGCCAGGGAGATGGCTCAGTCGAATAAGCGCTTCCCTGGCAAGTGCAAGGGCCTGAGTTCAATCCCCGGTTCTGCCACAAAAAAAAAGACAATTTTTTGTCCTAAAGAATTTCTAGAAACTGGAGTAGTACTGCAGAAGAGCGGGTTAGGGCCTTTTGGTGAGTGTAACTTCCCAGCTTTCATAGGATATAAGCAGTTAGGTAGTGTTCTGTTGGTGTAGTACTGCTGGTGTTGGCATTCTGTTGCTTTGAGAAAGGGATGTTGCATTGCAAGAATACTCTTAACAACAGATTGTTAAAGAATGGTGAATTGTTGCCTGGTTTTTGTATTTGTGTCTAATGCACATTTTAACACGACAGATGCAATGCTTTTTGCTTTTTTCTTTGTTTTTGGCGGTACCAGGGATCTGACTCAGGACCTTACACTTGGCAGGCAGGTGTTTATGTTGCTGAGCTATTTCCTGGCCCGATACAATAGATTATGTCACTCCAGTTTTCTAGGAAAGTCAGTTTTTTAGGAATTATTTTTCAGATCTTCAATACATTTTTTCTTTAAAA